GGCGAAGAAGTTGCATATCCTGGCGTTGGCAATTCACAAATGGAAAAACTAGTAAATGGAAAAGCCGAACGAAAAACCTATCGTTATTACCAGTGGGTTTGTTTCTGTCTATTTTTTCAGGTAAAGTCAAAATAAAATAAAAAACTTATTTAACAAACAACACACATTCTGTGATTCATTCGTTTCATTTGAATGTTTTTTCAACGGCCATTCGTCGTCGGTGTTGTCGTCATCATCGTCGCTTATACTACATATGAGCGACAGGCACGGCATAATAATCTTGTATTTTATGTGAACAGTTAAAGCACAAAAATGTGATAATAAAAAATATTGCATGAACGAATTATATGTCTTGTTTGTTCAGTTTGACGCAATGATTGGCGCGATTATCCTACAGAGTGAAACAGGCATTTTCGCTTTAATTTTTCTCTCAATTGTTTCGGGATATTTTCTCTGACTACTCCAAGAATGATGTAGATCGTAATTTTGTTTGATGTCATAATAAAAAATGGTCTCGGTGAAGAATCAACATTTTCTTCTCTCTGTCTTTCACTCTTTCTCTATCTCTCTCTCTCTTTCTTACTCTATCTGTTTTGAGATTGAATCAACTGAAACTGGATGGTTGAACGGACATATACAAAACGTCATCATCGTTCGAGTGTCATCGCGCTAAAAACAGCTACTACTGTTAATTTCATGATGGAATTAAACGGAGCGTACGAACAAACATGATATTCAACGTATTTTGTGATTGTTCTGCAAAAGCTAATAAATTACAAAATCATCCGCAATCCCATAACTAGATTATCCATCATTATGTTTACTTTGCAAGCAAAACGTGTAAACGGTTGCTGCATTAGTCCAAACATAAACATAACAGCATAAGCAAATGCATGCTCATTTATAAATATATAGACGTTTAATGTCCAGTGATTGTCGATTGTGCATGGGTGTTAGATAGAGTATGAATGTGTGGATACATGAACAAAAATGATCCATAGTGGCCATTTTCAGCATGCTGAACAAATACGGGTGAAAAAAAGAGAGTTCGAACACATTTTCCAATAGAATGCATAATTGTTCGTTGATTTACACCGCAGCAAATAGTGTTTTACATCTTTCGCATGAAAATGAAACCATTTACCGAACGAGCATAAAGTGTAATTTCCCTACCATGTCTCTGTGTATGTGCAAAATGTTTGCACATACCGTGGCGCAACGAAAGTTGCCGTCACGCGGAAAATCGAATAAGGAAAGCAACGAAAGTCAAGCCAAAAATTGGAATAGAGTGGGAAATCGCCTTTCAGTTTTAGTGATTTAAATCGTCTGGTTATCAACACGAAAGATGCAAAAATAGACTTCTCTCATAGTCGTCGTTGTCGTACTTTGTTTAACGCATTGTTTCGTTTTCTCGCACCACGTAAATAATAATAATAACATCAATGCAATTGCATTTTCGTTTCTCTTTCTTTTTTGCATTCTGATTTCGTTCTTCTCGACCAAATAGAAACAAAAAGTATCGACGATAATTGAAAAAGAATACAAAGTGCTTTCCGGCACTTGGCGAAATGCATACGCTCGATGCCTACACGTTAATATCAAAATCGAGCTGTGTAAAAAATGCAAAACATATTATAATAAATATATATAAATTCAGTTGTGTGTATGTGCATGGTAAATTTACTTAAAACAGATGTTGCCACTGCAATTTAAATTGTGCAGATACATGCAATTAAATTGTTTCGGGTGAATGAATGAATTATGTGCTGCATTAAAAGTTTTCAATTTGGGCAATGGAAAAGGCCCATCGTGACTATATTGCTCGAGCTTATGCCATTTATTTTCTCTCTGTGTGTTTTTTTGCGAGAGTAAAATTATTATGATTTTCCAACAAATTCAATTTAATTTTGTGCATAAAATCGCATTTCGTCAAGACACAAAGCACTTTGCGAGGCGCATGCATTAAAAGAAAGCGAAAAAATTATTAGAAATTACCACTTTTCACAGCCTGCATACTCGCCGCCTCAGAGAGCTCATATTAAAAACAGCAATTTCAAGAAATAGGTTAAAACATCATAAAAAAGAGGATGACTTCGTCTTATTGCACATTTCTATATTTACCTGTTGACGTGAACATTCGTAATCGCAACCGACGGCTGATGTTCAGGCGAATTTATTTGCCATGCAACTTAATTATATGACTTTGAGAGCTTCCAATGTGTTATTTATGCAATTGTCGTTTTTTCGCTGTGGATAAAAAAGTATTTCTACATTAAAATAGTAAGATGCACATCAGACTTTTACTGAGAGAGACTTTCTCTCAGAGACACAGTGCGAATGAATCTCGTATTTTGCCACAATGTAGTGAAGTTTTGTATGAATCAGTCTACAATAAAACACCGCGACAAAACGGCCACCACGCAAAACACCAAATGTCAAGTACAATTAGTTCAGTTTGTAAAACAAAAAGACATGCAAAAAAAACGATGTATTTTTGGCAATTGCATTGAATTTCGTACCGTCCGACATTATATTGTGGTTTCATCGAAACGGTAGAAAAGAAAACCCCAAAGTTTTTAATCTTGATTCAGATTTATTTGTTCTGATTTAAATTTAACTCAAGGTTACTACGTGAAAACATGCCATGCGAGAAATCGGCCGTTGAACGAGAGAAAAACGAACACAATTTTTTATTCTCACTCTACATCGTTAGCATTTTATGTTAAAACAACAATAGACCAATTTAAAATTTTATACAAAAAACAATGACATGTAAAAGCGTCTCATATGCACTGCGCTGCTCACACGAAATTGTATATTTTTTTATCCGTTTTTTTTTTCATTATATGGGCTGTATTTTGATTATCGGGGTCGTATTCACAGTGATGAATGGAAGTGAGATATAGAAAAAAATAATAACAACGAAAAAATCACGGAATCTGTAGCTTGTATTTGCAAGTGATGCGACAGATGTTTGACGCAATAGTCCAACGAAAGATTAACGGTTGATTTTACATTTTTTTTAATGAGGCGATTTATCACTGGAAAATAAGCAATGACGTATAAAATGCTTGTTCATTGAGTTGCACAACACGCAGAAATGATGAAAAGTCTATGAACCATAAGCGTTAAATGAAATGCAGCTGATTGAACGCAATGCGTTTGTTTCATTGTGCTTGACAATGATGCAAGGTAAACATTCAATCTTCGTTACAAAAAAAACATCTTCAAATTGGCACCCATTAAAAAAGAAAATGCTGAAATGGTGTGCGAACAACAACGATATCACAACAACATCACACGTCACAATACACACATTTCACCGTGATTTCTTTTAGCTCATTCCGCATATCACACACTGGCAAATGCGTCAAACCGAGCAGGTAGTCAATATTTCTTTTGTCGATCAGTGTGTGTTCTCGTAAAAATAGAATTTCATCACAAATCTTGGCTCAATTTAATCCATTTTGTTTTATTTTCACTCTATTCGTTTCTTTTTTGTCACCGTTATAACACATCGTTACGCTAAATCAACGAAAAATCAAAATAACGCAAATAAAACTGAAATTCATTATGATGACGAAATGGAGGCACATATTTTCTCTCTATAGACAATGTCCTATCACACTTGCATCGGTCGAACGCCCAATTTCGATTGAGAGCCTTTTTTATAGACTTAAACGATGCAGTCACCAGACTCAATTCGTATTTACTATTTTTATTGGATTCCGCACCGTAGAATAACAAACTTTGCTTGATTCACGACGTTTTCGTGTGAAATTTTTGTGAGAAAAGCAGAAAAGTGAAACGAAAGGACTGAAAAAAAAGAATATCTTCATTTTACATATGTTTATAATCATATCAGTCTAAATTATAGGTTGGCGACGATAAATGAATGACCGTTTAACGCTTATTAATGGTTTTTCACTTTCATCACCGCTCAGCATCACCGCAGCAAAACCGTCTCAATCATCATAAATACGAGAATTCTTGCTCGAATTTTGTTTTTCTCGTTCAATCATGAAAAATGGCGTTACTTCACTTTTAAGCAATTTATGTTAAAAAGTTATATTCATTGTATCGAAATGGCCACATTTTAATCGAGTAAAAAGCCTTTTGAAACAATATCGCGTAAATGTTACTTTTGATTTAACAGATGTTGTGTTGAATCTATTCAATTTATATATTCAAATAGTCTGGAGTCTAGACCATTGTTTTTGTAAGCGGTTTGAAATTGTTTGCAGAGAAAACAAATGTCAAATAATTCGAACGTTGAATAAACACCAAAATGTAAATGAATTTTGAATTACCGTTGCAATCTAAAATTGATGATGGGTGGGCCATTAACGTTTGTCAATTAGCATCATGACATGCGAATGGCAGTGAATTTGGTCGACTTCATTTTAAAATCCACCTCTAAATTACGATCACATTTGGCCTTATTTTTTTTGTGAAATTCGGCATCAATGTTATTTTTAGCAAAAATGAAATGAGTAATAATTTAGCCATGTGTCGGCACTTTCAAATCTGTCTGATTGATTTTCAACATAAACAATACAAATGCATTACCGTTTACAATGAAATAAACAAATAAATTGCATCAATTTGTGAACATTCATCATCATCAAACGACTGACGATGTTTATGTTTTGGCGCATTTCAATTGTGAACAAACAATTTCGTTGAAATACAAACGCGGAACAAACATTTCAATAAATGAAAATAATCATATGCATATCATTACAATGGGTCTTTGAGGTGCTTGAAAATGAGAAGGATTTTATTTTGTTTCTTTCAAACGTAAATTGATTTTATGCCCAAAATGTCATGGCCATCAATATATCGGAGGCAAAATGCATCCAATTTTTTAATTAGATTTTTGATTTATTTTTGACTGCAAACGATCCAGTTGATGATGTTTTTATAATTGCTTTCTTTTACAATGTTTATATCTGCATTTACGATGATGAATTTTTTGTTTGTTCTTTGTTCAATCTTAGGCGATATTATTTTATACTCCGCGTTGGTTATGGAAATCATGGGAGGGTGGAAAGATACACGCACTGATGCTCGATCTCGATATCGGCATCTGTTCCGAAATTGAAAAGAGACAAAAGAAAAAGCTACTATTAGACTACTTATGGGACAATTTAAGGTAAAGTTTTATTTATATTAACTTTAAAATCAGATCGGAAATTCATGTTTACACTTTATTCAACTGATTTTTAACATTCTAGGTACCACAATTGGTGGGCATATCGATATTACGTATGTGAGCTGCTGGCGCTGCTGAATGTAGTGGGTAAGTTTTCTCTCAATGAAAAAGAAAAGGAAAAAAACCCTGATCTGCGCCAACTTTATGTGCTTCAATGTTCCAACTCTCGATTAGACGATTCAAAATTTACATATGAAACATCTTAGCACATAGCAACCAAATAGAAAATTATTGGACTACCACAGCATGGCCACAAAAATGTGATTTCGAAAAATGTTTCCCTGTGAGATTGAGCGCAGAGAGAGAGAGAGAGCAGAGAAAAAAATAAACAAAACTTAATTTTGAAATTTTGGGATTTTTGGTGAAGAATTCGACAGTAATGTGTAAACAAAACATCATTTCCGTAGCAAAAAAAAACTATGTTGCGTTAACGTCTCTGTCTCTCTTCTGCTAGCCGAAAATGTGGTTTTATTGAGTGCTATATAAAGCGAATCGAGGTTTATTTCAGTCCAATGTAATGGTCTCAATTTGTGTAATTAGCGGTTTCGATGTTTTCTCCGAGGTTTTCTCTTTTTTTCTGTTATTTTGGCGCACAAAACTAATAATATTTTGATTTGTTTCTGTTTTGTATTTGCGTTGTTTCTCTGTGATATTGAATTTTAATTAAATTGGCGTTCGTTGGTCATTTCGAATCGAGACAAATAATTGAGAAAATTAACGTGTCTCCTTCTTTTTTTTTCTCAGGTCAAATGTTCTTAATGAATAAATTCTTCGATGGTGAATTCATGACATTTGGCTTGGATGTCATAGCTCATATGGAAGCGGATCAAGAGGATCGCATGGATCCAATGATTTATATCTTCCCAAGGATGACGAAGTGTACATTTTATAAATACGGTGTCAGCGGTGAAGTGAGTAGATTTTGACCTCTCTTCGTTTTTTTTTCTCTCAAATTTTAAACAAATATGAAAAAAATGTTATTTATTTAAACTGAAAAAAAAAAACATTTTTAGGTGGAACGACACGATGCAATTTGCATACTGCCGCTAAATGTGGTCAATGAGAAGATCTACATATTTCTTTGGTTTTGGTTCATCTTACTATTCATACTGACTTCACTAACATTAATTTATCGTGTTGTTATAATATTTTCGCCCAGAATGAGGGTATATCTACTACGTCTAAGATTTAGGTAAGCGCCCAGTAAATTTACACATTTCTCACAAAATTCATTTTACTAATGCTCTATTTACATGGATTTTGATTTAAACACATACACACACACATATGTTTACAGGTTAGTGCGTCGTGATGCCATAGAGATAATTGTACGTCGTTCAAAGATGGGCGATTGGTTCTTATTGTATATGTTAGGCGAAAACATAGATACAGTTATATTCCGTGATATAATGCAAGAGTTATCGAATCGTTTAAGCATAAATCAACATCATCATGTTCCTGGGATGAAAGGCGAAATGCAAGATGCTTGATATTTGTATGGATGATTGGCGTTCACCGAAACCGAATTGAATGCCATTTGCATTGACGAAGATGTGATTGCCAATGCTGTAATCAGATCCATAGCTGCTACCGTTATTGATACTTTAATGGTTTACTGTAAACATACATTACTGATAATTACTTAAATCTAAACATACCAATGCATACTTGTTTCACATGCACCGATGTTGATGATGCAGATAAACGTAATTCATTAATTTTAATACACCAATAAGTAGAACGAAGACGACGACGAAGATGACGATGAATAAAAATAATAGCAACAATAACAACCAAAATGAACAATAATAGCGTTTTTATTCGTAGTACGATAAACACTTATTGTTTCTAAATTATTTATTAGTATAATATTTAATATATTAATAATAAATAATTAATAAAAAATGACGTTAGTGGTGTAAGAATAATCGAAAGCATGAGATTGTCCAAGTCATGTTGAAATTGAAAATTCGTCATTCAATGCATCAAAAATTATCCATTGTCGAAAGCACTATTACTACACATAGCATCTAAGTGATCACTCACATGGCATCTCTCGTGCGCATATATATACATATGAAATATAAAACAAGAAAAGAAAATTGACGATGATAGAGACACAGAGTAACTCATGTTGAATTAATTAAATGTTGGCAACATTTCAATTGCCAAATTAAATGTAAGAAATAACAAAAAGGATGTCTCTTGCCTTTTAGCAAACCAGTCAACAAAAATGATAAAACTCAACATATGTGTTCAAATATTCAATATTCCTTCGTTGTACTAGCAAGCATCTGATCCGCAGCTACATTCAAAAGCGGAACAAATAAAAACTCTAAATGGAAATAAATGATTCAATCGAAGAAGACAAGAGCAACAAATGAACACACACCCACACACATCAAAGTGACACGGCGTCACATGATACAAATTTACACATGTCAATATCAATATATTTCGAAGGAAATGATAACCAATCGATCGAACTGCCCGATATGACGAACAAAAAAAGAGAAAGAAACGCAATGCGTGCGCTCTCTATTTGAAGAGCTCCTGTATATACACGATTTTTAAATACGATTTAATCAAATCCAACCGGAATGCAAGCAAATTCGGATTCACCATTTCATCTTTCTTATGTTGGTTTCGATTTTTTTTTCTTTCATCATATTCAAATCAAAGCATTTTTAGACACGAATTCATAAAATTTGTATAAATTATATTCAAAATGCTGTAAAAATTAGGCACAATACTAATGATAACAATAATAATGGTAATGGTAATAGAACGATTGTATCATTATTATTTAAGGGATACATCTAATTCATTGAGATAAGAAAGCAATAACTTATACATATGGTAAACGATACAGAAAATCTCTTGTCATCATAACTTCTAATTAGTTTCATGAGAATGGCCAACAAAAAAAAAACCAAATAAATAAACACGTTTCACACAACTTTAGCAAGGGATATGGATTGAAGTGAGAAAATTAAAAATCAATGTAAATTCTACTGCGATCTTCTTCGATTCGAACAAAAAAAGAGCGGAGATGAGCAAGTGTCAATGGGATATACTGCCAATGCCAATTAATCTTCTGTTAGAGAAACATTTTTTTTTGTGAATTATTACCGAGAGTTGTTGACTATTGTATAAACAAATTTATTAATACGTTTTAGGCATAAAATATATAGATTTTGCATGGAATCGTATTCAATGAAGAAAACAACACTAAGCTGCCGAAATTGGTGTGATAATAAATTGCTTCACTTTTCTATTGGATTTTATTTGAAAGCATGTGTTCCGCACTTTCAATCACACAACTTTATGGTTCCATCATGCTTTTGCATAACGGTGAAAATGAAATAATTTGACAAAAATATTCTAATTTTCAATTTCCTACTTCAACAACAAAAAAAAAAAATCAATTTTATGGACAAAATCGACTTGGCAACCTCTGGTTTAATCTTTTTTTTTTAACACGACGGCTTTCTTTTCTAATTTTCAATATAATAAGTAGATTATTAAGCTCTAGTTTCAATGCGGATAAATCCAACAAGAAAATGTAATCGAATATAATTTCATTTGTTAATATATAGCTTCAATTTTGTTGTTGTCGATCTCATTACTTAATGTTTTATTTTTTAATATATTTTTCTAACTCAATATAAACTGAAAATCAAGAAAAAAAAATGAACTCAAAATTTAATACATTTAACAATTACCGTCTAGTGAATCTATTGTAAAATGATGTGAAATTTCAGTTTCTCTTTTTTTTTGTGTATGAATTAGATATAAATAAAGAATAAAGGAATACAATATGATCGAAAAATAAACCAATTGTATAGATGAAATATAACACACAATGTGAGATGAATTGAATACCACATACATACATACAGAAAAAAAAAACAACTAATTTAATGATTAATTGAGAATGTAGAATGAATAATTTGTTCAAAAAAAAAAGATCATCATAATTCTAGAATTAATCAAATTGATTTCTATGCAATTCATTTTAGATTGCAACATCCTAACATGAAATAAACAAGGAGAAGACGAAGTAAATAAAATGGAAAATCGACATAAGAATTTATTTACCTTTATCCAATTAGAACGAATGAATGATAGAAATTATACACGATTTTATCAAATCCAAACACCCAAAACTCATTGATTTCGTAAATTTTACTAGTAGAACAAATCAATTTAGAAAAGAAAACAAATTTAAAAAAATACACAATGAGCGCATTCGAAAAGTGCCGGTAAAGAATCCAAATGGAATATCACATAAAAAATGCGGCCGTTTTAATTAACGGCTCACTTTCATACATAGACAAGCAAAACTAACTAAGCAAAGAAATACACAAAAAAATCACACAAAAAGGCAAAAAAAAAAAAACAAAAAAAACGCAAAGTAGACATCTTTACTGAGAGAGAACGAGAGTGACAAAAATGCGATGTATGGAAAGTCCGATCATGCCCGCGCATTCGAAATATTTCGAAAGTGATGAGATCAGCTGCAGAAGTGAGACGATCGCAAAAAAAATCGAATAATATCAATCAAACGAAATTCTAAACATCAAGAGCATTTCAATTTGTCTTTATAATTTTTGTCGCCGAAACACCAAACACAAAAAAAAAGAAACAAAAACGAACAAACAAACGAAAACATATTCCACGGTACTTTGTAAAGCGTTATGTATATTCGGGACGACATACACACATACACATCCTATCGTAGTCTAACGAGCCCCCCCTTTTTTATTAGAATTTAAAACGAAAAATAATAAATTTTTGCATTAGCCGTAAATTAATTTTAAATACCACACAAACTCTATCACACACAATTCCAAAACTTACATTCATCTAAATTAATAAATAATATGATGATCATGTGGAAAAAGGAGTGAATATAACAGAGGAATGGAATGCATTGAATTTAAAAAAAATGAGAGAAGAAATTATAAACAGTTCTAACGATCCCCTATTACGGATACAGACAAATGAGAATATAAAGAAACACACTAGTCAATATTCCTATCAGTTCAATAAATTTCAAAGAATAATTAAAAACAAAACGAGAAAAAAAAATTTGCATTGCGATTTTTACAAAAGCATTCACACATACGATATCAGCAAGGAATGATCGGCGTCCGAATGGAGTTTGGTGAATGCAAGAATTTCATGATAGTCAGCGCTGTTCAATAACACCCTACAGAGCCACATACACACACTCACACAATAAAATGAAATGTACACTTAGATTTATACATAAATCAAACAATTGCTTAGACACTAAATACACATCTTATGATAAACTCTAGTCATTAGATTTTCAGTGAAAATGAAATGGCCGAAATTCAATAAATATAAATAATTTATCAAGAATATTAACGAAAAATTGTGAATTGGAAATGGCCAAGATGTAAGTAAAATCCGAACAAAAGCCACATACACTTAGACGCTTTTTAACCTAACAGTTTTACAGATAAACATAGTATGTATACATGTATTACATATACAAACACAATGCCCAATGCACAGTTGGTTTTTTTCTCGAAATGATGCGAGTACATTTCGTTGAAATTGTTTCTTTTCTATCTACTTCGATCCCACTCGATAACCCTCTCTGTACCTCCCCGCCCCCCAAAAAAAACGGAAGAGTAAATATGTTCCTTTTTCTATATGTTCAAAATGCTTTGGTAAAATTGGTGCTTTAAAAAATTGTATAAAGAATAATGGTTTCCATACATTTTTCAATATGGTACGATGTGTACGTATATTTGAGACAAATTTCTTGTAAAATTATTTCGTTGTTTTGTTTCCGGAAGAATGAAAAAAAGACGTAAATTCAAAGTGTTAAATCAATTGAACGTTCGACGATAAGCATGTCATTTTTTTAGGGAAAAAAAAATATAAGTCCATTATTGGGACCAAACGTGGATATTGAGTCTCTCAAATCCGAACACCGAATTGGTTTAGCCTTGGCTTAACGTGGTGAAAATTTCCTTTCTGCTTTTCGTAAAACAAAAACAAACAAAAAAACACGTAGTGCTTTATTTAACATTACAACGGTAGCTCCCAAAAATGAACCAGATAGGCTGCGCTTATAGACAGCTAAACATTTTAATAACTAAAAAAAAACGACAACAATTAAATCAGGTATTAGATGCAATTCGTTTAATCGACATCCATATTTCATCATCAACAACAACAAAAATCTCACACATACACAAAGCAAACTAACAACAACAACAACCAAAACAAACAAAAAAGCAGGAGCTCATCAAATCGAAATGTCATGCGATTCCTTTTTCTATTGACCGAGACTCAAACCAAAATAAAAACCACATTGCTATGTCTAAACTGTAAAAAGATGAATAAAAAAACGAAAGTATTACCGAATATAACCAAATTTTAATATGAAAAAAAAAATTATTATTAAAGAAAAAAATAGAAGAAAATAATTTCAACCAAAAAAATGACACACATACAAGAAGAACAAAAAAACATCGTATGCGATTGAAAACTAGATGAATAACTTAACATTAGGATTTACAGTTTAATTTTATAATATAATGGTTAAAGACAAGAAATAAAAACACTGTAAATATATTCACCAGAAAGTAAATCAACGGTTCTAATTATAAAACAAAAAAAAAACAATAGGAGAGACCTTTTTCGATAAATTGTAATTGTAATGGGTTCTGTTGAGATCAATCTATTCCTCTTGTTCTCCTGTTTGAACATTGCGTTACTCACAAATTTAAAGAGAAAACAAACTCCCCCCTTCGCACTCCCCCGCCCCCCTTACGATTGATTTTCATATGCCCATTTTTTAATATATATAATATATAATTAAGGTTATTTGAACAGAATTTTATCGAATGTGTTATGGAGTGTGTGTGAGAAATCTAATATTAATTGTGTTATATTTTTATGTTCTCTTCTTGCAACATCGATTTTGATCCAGTGGCGTGTTCGTTTGTTGTTTCATTCATCTCATGTCTGAGGTTTACGTTTTTCTTTCTGATTTTGTATTTCTCAAAACGTTTTACATGATGAATGAAATGGTAGTCAAAAAGAAAATTTAACTAAATTACAAATTAAACGAAAACTATTACCAATTATTATTCAATGACAAAAAAAAAAATGAGAACACAAAAAAATACTCAAAAGAAAATACATTTTTTGTGGGGGCACAATTGTATTGTAATGTGCTCTTGTACCGTATTATTCATTAAAGTGAATACTACATTCAAAAAATCGTAATAATGTCAAAACAAATAAATAATATAATTACTCACATTGAATATAGTGTTTTATGCGTATATCAAAAGAAAAACTACAAAAAAATGAAAGAAAAGAAAACCAAAACCAAACTTAAATACCATTAAATACAGTGAATAAACAGAGATAAGTTTCTAAAACATATGAGATCTGACGAACAAATAAAATAAATAAATGAAATTAACAAGACCGACTATTCAACAACCAACAGCAACAACAAAATAAACAAATTATTACAATTATTAAAACGTGAAAAGTGAGATAACTGTACAATAAACTAAGAAAACTAAACCAAATTAATGGAAAATGCCATAAGAACTATGTGAGAAATTAATAAAATTATATTATATCGACTACAATTAAATGAGCTTTTGTTTTATTTGATATGATTTTGTGAAAACTAACGAAATCTCCTGAATTTAGACCGTATTATGTGAATTAAGTAAGGTAAGTAATCCAACAGAGAGCAGCACATGAAAGTTGACGATCGAGATCACTAAAGCGGAATTAAAGGCGTTTTGAAGCTGTGCGCAATCGATGACAGACTTTTGAGTCAGTGAGTATGTTTTTGTTATGATTTTTCTTCATTTGATTTTTCATTGATTTTCTTCATATTCTTTTTTTTCATTATTTGTTTCAATTTACCACTATCATTGGCACATCTTAATTCTTAGCAA